GCATCCCTAGATACCAATACTTGAGTTCCTGGTGCAAAAGATCTCTCTTGTGTGCCTTGGTCATATTGCCATTTCTGAGCCAGTTTAGCCTGTTCCAAGTTATGTCAGGCCTCAACCTGAGCAGCCTCCAGATGATCCTGGAGTTGCTGTACATAGTCACAATGGTTCCTTCCTGGAAGGGCTGGTTCCCGTACCATTGGTCACCTACCAGGCCCAGGATTCCTCATGGCATTCAGCCATATAACAATTTGAAGGGTGCATACTCCATTGAGGCTTGGAGAGCTTCTCTCAATGCAAACATAAGGGAATCTATAAAAAGGTCTCAAGTATTAGGTTGGTCTTGGGCCAACTTGTGAAGCATGGACTTAATGGTCTGATTAAGGTATTCCAATAGACCATCCATTTGGGGATGATGCATGGATGTGTACATTGGCTTAATTTGTAGAACCTGACAGACCTGTTACATCAAGGTGGCCGTGAAGGGAGACCCCTGATCTGTTAGGAGAACTGATCTGTGAAGGGAGACCACCTGATCTCTGGCTTTTCTCCTCCCCGACCTCTGCATATTGACTCCCTTCTATCCTCCCCTGCTGCTTTAGGTCTCTCCCTCTCTTCATCCCATTGGCTCTTTCCCCCTGCTCAAGATAGGTGGGGCACCTCTCCCTATGGGGATGGACCTTGTCCTCCCCACCCTCTCATTTCTCCTTTCCTAATGCTAGCTGCCCTAACTGCTGGTGCTCTGACATGTTAGTTATGTCAGCCACAGGAGACCTGATTTCTGCAGTCTTGCTTTCTGCCTTTGGCTTGGCCTGGACTGAGGGTTCCCACGGGCTCTGGGACTCAGTACCAGCCCTGCATGGAATAGGCCGTACTGGGCTCCACCAGAGTTGTGCCTGTGTACCCACCCTCATGCTGCCTTCATCAGGCACAATTCTAGAGTCATGCCCAGTGTCTCCCTCCCAGTCCATGATGCCCTGCCAGGTGGACCCTAACCTGAGGTGAGTCTGCCAATGCCAGTCCTCAGGATCAATGCTTCTGCGGTTGGCGAGGGACAGTCATACAGGAGAGCCATTTGCACTGGGGTTCTAGTGCTAGGGCAGCAGGGTGTCTTCCTCCTCCAAAGGAATTTCCCTGATGATAATTAGTCCAAAGGTAGTTGCCATACAGGGAAAACATATGGGCAAACTGTAAGATGTGTGATGTTACTTCATTCTTCAGGCTGATTCCTTGTAGGGCTGATACAGCATACCTGGAAGTAGAGCAGCGGCTACTGCCCCTTTTGCCTGTGTGGCTACCCTACCACGTGACTGCACATGTTGCCCAGCATCACTGGGAAAAGGGCATGCAGGTGATGCTTGTGCCTGGGAGCACAGGGAAAAGAGACATAGTTGGGCAGTGGTGGAGGGCAGACAGGTAGGTGAAGAGGTGCATGGAAAGTAATGGAAAGGGAAGCCCTGAGCACTCTTTGCCCAGGGCTCCCTAAAACCTGGAAATGGCCCTGAAAGCATGGTGCAGTTTATATCTGGCATCTCTTGGCAGATATAGCCACAGAGTGTATAGAAGCAGAAGTACCACTTTTGTGGTGGTCTGAAAAACTTGGGGAAATTTTGCAGGGAGGCAGGAGACCAGGCCCATAGCCAGGATTTTTTTTATTTGGGGGGGCTTTAAATAAATTGGGGGCACCACCACAAACCCCCTGAGGGCAGCCTTCTCTGGGGGGGGGGGCTGCTGCAGATTCACAGGAGCCAGAAGGGATTCCAACACCCCCCCCATGGGTCTCCCAGGCAGGAGTTCAGCAGACTGTCCAATAGGCGCGATCGAGGAAGGGAGCCAGACCAGCCACAGATGGTAAAAGGCCGACTTAGCAGTGGCTGCTACCTGGGCCTCCATTGTTAAGGAGGTATCCAGGAGCACTCCCAGACTCCTAACCTCTGGCACTGGCACTAGTGGTGTCCCACCAAAGGTCAGGAGTGGGATCCCTACCCCCAAACTGCCCCGACTCAGACACAGGACCTCCGTCTTCAGGTTCAGCTTCAGCGGGCTCAGTCTAAGCCAATCAGCCACAGCTTGCAAAGCCCGGTCTAGATCTTCTGGTCTGGAGTCTGACTAGCCACCCAACTTCAGATAGAGCTGGGTGTCATCAGCAGGGAACCAGAAATGTAGCACGGAGAAAGGGGCCTAAGCCCAAGCACAGACCACCAGATCAACAGAAGGAGAAGAACTTTATTGGCGCCGGTTCAGTCAGCGAAGCACGCTTTAAACAGACTGAACCCAGAGCAATGCAGGCTCCAGGCTTTTATACTGCAACAAGGTTACACGTCATCATTTACATCACCAGAGTGGAATTTTCCATTGACTAGGCTTACTTTTCCCGCCCAAACCAAACAAGCTCACTTCTGCCCCCTTATGACTGGAACATGAACAGCAACTATCCCCTTATATGGGCAAGGAATAATAAATGCCTACTTCATTCCCCCCTTTCGGTCCTTTCTCTGGGACAGAGAGAGAGACCGACCAATAACATGGCATAGCATTTATTCCTTGCCTGGAGAGTATACAGTAACTAACAGTACTTTTCTTCTTTAACCTGTGGAAGAATTTATGCATTAGTGTTCAACCTGTTCCTTTTAGCAGTAACCAAATATAAAAGTTTAACAGTATCATTGTGAGCTAACATTGCATTAACTGTTTTGGTAGCTACATTCTTAACCAAAGGTATCAAACAAGGGAGAAGTAACAAACCACCAAAGGCTAAAGCTATTAAGAACAATATACGTTTCCAATCTCCAAGTATGTTTCCGAACCAATCTTCAGTATCTATTCCTGTCCAGGTTTGGACTGGGACATGGGCTAAATTACGCATATGTTCTGTAATCTGTTCAATAGCTTTACCATTGTCATCAATCTGTAAACAACAATTTGAAAGGTTAAACTTTCCACAAACTCCTCCTTCAGTTGCTAATAAGAAATCTAAGGCAAGTCGGTTCTGGTAAACAGCAGTGCGAAGTTGTGTGTTGGTTTCGGCTAATACAGACAGAGCCAGGGAAGTTTCATTAGTTATGATTTCTAAAACCGCTTGTAGTCTAATTATTCGATTTAGCATATAAATGGGGGTTCTATAACCATATGTACCATCAGCTGCCCAGGTAGCTGGACCATATACTTGAATAATACGTTCTGGAGGCCATTCATCATCTTTCCAGTTACCTACAGCTAATCCCCGTATTTCTCGCTTTGAGCGTCCTAACTCATCATATACTGGGACTCCTAACCTTTCTCCGACAGTGAGGGGTAGGAGGAAAAAGCTAGGTTTTATAGTACCTAATATACAAGCACCATTCCATGTAAGGGGCAGGGTTGCATAGGCAGCTGAACCACATATCCAGTATAAGGAGTCTGGAGCTCTCCATTCTTTAGAAGTGCTACAGGGGTTGTCCCATAGGACTTGTAAACGACTCATATTAACATAAGGTGGGGCTTGGGTGACATTCGGATTAGCAAAATTAATATAGGCTTTAGGCTGGGTGCCATTACAGAACCATCCTTCTTCACAATCTAGGGCTCCCACTGAAATGTTAAAAGGAGCTCCCTGTCGTATAAAACAAGTATGACCAACTAAGGGATTTTTCAGGATCCATCTACTGGGGCGGTGGATATTATTCCAGGAAAGGTTGAAAGCATGGGAGATATTATTAAGTTCTACCTCTTTGGCCTCCCAGGGCCATTGTTCTCCCATATTGGTACCTCCACAGACATAACAATTCTTAACTGATAGTTCTCCTGCAATTCTTTCAGCAAGATCGATAAATAGATTCTTGGTCACTGGGGGGATTTCTATTACTTTCCCCATTTCTGACCAAAAGGTTGTGTGAATCTTCATTTCAGTGCTTTGGATTTTTGAACTAATAGTTTCTATGACAATGCGTCCGTATGGACTTTTTCGACCACCAATATCTATGCCAACCCCATACATCAGTTTCTTTCTTCCCTGGTTCTCGGATGCTCGGAAATGTAAGCACAAGGGAGTGCAGTGGTTATGGCTGCAAGGGGTTAGACTAGTTCCCTGGGATAACTTAAAGTACGGGTGGGCTTTCCCTCCTCCCACTATTCCACCTTGAGGTCCATCTGAGATATTACCATCATTAGAGACATACCAGACTTGTGCTTCAAGTTCATAAGTTGATGACAGAAACATTTTCCCTTCTTTGGCATAGCTCTGCTCTTTAGCTAGCCCTCCACACGTTTGTCTAATTTCCCCTGCACTATACTTTCGACTTCGAGAGATGGCATGACATATGTCAAAACAGACTTGCATACTTTGACTAGACTGGGAAGTGACATTGGACGCTAAAAGGGAAGAGGTGAAAGTATCAGGACTTGTGTACCATCCACTAATATAAGCATAAACATTAATACGGGCCCGAGTCACATTGGACTGGGGTCGAAAGCACATAAATTTCCCTTGATTTACACAAACACTGTAACTTATGCCCTCATGAGAACATTGGGTAACTACAGACGAAATACAATCAAAGTCAGAATGATAAATGAGGGTTTGTGAGACTTGACCTTCACGAAAAGTGGAAGTAATGCAAGAGGTACAAGCAGGAAACCCCATAACTGGGATGCAGATCATAGAAGGTACAAAAACACAATTTAACAGAAGCATCCACATCTTGGGCCTGTGCGTCGACTAGTCAGCTTCCGGTGTGACTAGAGCAGGGCCTGATGCTCCAACGAAGGTCTGATTTTTCACCCGTGCGCAGGGAGACCGTTTCCGGTAGGTCTCAGCAGGGGTTCTGGAGTCAATCTTCAGCTGTGTCCTCTTGGGGCGTGGGCCCAAGAGAAGCAGAGCTTGCTGGATTACTGGGCACGACACGTCTAAGCTTCACAGTAGTAGGATTAGATCCTGGCTCAGCAGTCCATCTAGTATGGGCAAGCTTCAAATTCGTCCAGTGGATCCAGGGTTTCCTCTCAACGACCTTCACAGCTGTAGGGGAACTGAGTAAAACAGTGAAAGGTCCCTCCCACCTTGGCCCTAAGGGCTCTGGTCTCCAATTTTTAACCCATACTGAATCTCCAGGACTGACATGACACACAGAATCAAACAAGGGAACTGGGAGACAGGCAGAGTAATGTCTTTGGAGTTTCTCAACTTGTCGTCCAAGGGCTTGTAATTCTGCTGAGGTGATTAACTGATGAAACCCATAAGCATCGGTATGAACTCCCATGGTCAGTGGGGGAGGACGGCCAAACATTGCCTCATAAGGAGAAACTGAAGTTCGTTTGGAAGGGAGGCAGTGCAGTCGGAATAACACTAGAGGTAGAATCTTAGGCCATGGCTGTTCAGTCTCTTGGGTGAACTTCCGCAAGGAGGCTTTAAGAGTTCTATTAGCTCGTTCTACTGCTCCTGAACTCTGGGGACGATAGGCACAGTGTAATTTCCAGATGATTCCTAAGGCTTTGGCAACTTGCTGAGTTAATTCAGAGATGAAGGCTGGTCCATTATCAGAGGAAACCCAGGTAGGTAATCCGAATCTTGGAATTAGATCCCTTAACATGGCTCGGGCAACTTCTGAGGCCTTTTCAGTGGCAGTTGGAAACGCTTCTATCCATCCAGTATGCGTACAGACAAACACCAACAGGTAGTGATGACGACCAACTTTTGGCATCTCGGTGAAATCAACAACAAGCGAAGTCATTGGGGCTGGTCCTGGGGTATTGATTCCTGGAGGTCGTCGGGGACCTTCTCTAGGATTGTTTCGGGCACAGGTAACACACTGACGGCACACGAGGTCTGCTAATGCTGTCTTCCGTTCCAGATGAGCCCAGCGGTCTAAGGCTTTAACAAGACTGGAAGATCCATAATGGGTATTAGCATGAAGGGCTTTCATTATTTCATAGCCTAAGGAGGCTGGAATCCAAATTTTTCCTGTTGGCAAGATCCACCAACCTTCCTCATTCTTTTTTGCTGATTGCTGGTCACAGAGGTAGTCTTCATGTTTGGTGTAACGAGGCGTCCAAGCTGAGACTGGAGTGGGGAAGACAGGACAGGCTAAGACTGACGGACTAGGAACTAGAGTGCGGAGACAAAGTTTTCCTTCTGCTGCTTCCTTAGCTGCTTTATCAGCACGACCATTTCCTTCTGCAATTGGGTCAGACTTCCGTTGATGTCCTCGACAGTGGATTATTGCAATCTTAGTTGGCAGATTGATGGCTTCTAGCAGAAGACGAAGATTTGGCCCATATTTGATATCCTTTCCAGCGGCTGTAATAAATCCTCGGTGTTGCCACAGCATTCCATGTGCATGGGCTGCCTTGAAAGCAAACATTGAATCGGTGAATATATTTGCAGCTGCATTCTTGCTTAGATGTAGGGCAACTGTCAGGGCTATTATTTCTGCTAGTTGAGCAGATGTTCCAACGGGTAGAGATTCTGCTTGTATCACCTGATGGTCATCTACAACAGCATAGCCTGCTTTGCGACGTCCTTGAGGGTTGATGAAACTGCTACCATCACAGTACAATATTAAGTCTGGCTGCTGAAGGGGTTGGTCACGAAGGTCAAGACGAGATGCAAACAGCTGGTCAGTGGTTACTAGGCAATCATGCTCAACATCTTCACATGGTACTGGCAACAAGGTGGCTGGATTTATGTTGATGACAGGAGCTAGAGATACACCTGGGTTCTCGAGGAGAACTGCTTGGTACCTGGCCATACGTGAAACTGTCAGATATTTGTGACCACGAGCTTCTAAAATGGTCTTAACTCCGTGTGATACAAACACTGTGAGTGGGGCTCCCCAGGTGAATTTGTTTGCTGCTTCAATAAGTCTACAGCAGGCAGCAACAGCACGTAAGCAAGGGGGCAGACCGGCTTCTACAGCATCCAGGTTTTGGCTAAGGTAGGCCACAGGCCGATTGTGAGTCCCAAGTTTCTGGAGAAGGACACCTAAAGCAACACTTTGCTTCTCATCTACGCAAAGGGAAAAAGGTTTTTCTGGATCTGGCAGTCCTAAGGCAGGAGCCTCAATGAGCCGTTGTTTCAGGGTCCTAAAGGCAACATCTTGATCTGGGCCCCAGACAAAAGGTTCCTGTGTCCCCCCTTTGGTAGCTTCATATAAGGGTTTGGCCAAAAGAGCAAAGGAGGGAATCCATAACCGACAGTAGCTAGCTGCACCTAAGAAGCCTCGTAGCTCTTTGCGACTCTGGGGTAGAGGTATCTGGCACACAGTTTCTTTCCTTGCATTACTGAGAGACCGTTGATTCTTAGAGATTTCAAATCCTAGGAACTGGACTCGAGTTAAGCAGATCTGGGCCTTCTTGAATGAGACTTTATAGCCACAGGCATCAAGGAGACGGAGAAGGTTAAGGGTGCCCTGGGAACATCGATGAGGGTCAGGGGCACAAAGTAACAAGTCATCCACATATTGGATTAAGGTAAGGACCCCTTCTTGGGTGTCAAAGTTCTCTAAGTCTTTACCGAGGGCCTGTCCAAACAATGAAGGAGAATTTTTGTAGCCTTGGGGCAAACGAGTCCAAGTGTACTGACATGGGCTGGAGGCTCCAGGGGCTCTCCATTCGAAGGCAAAGATGTCTCTGGACTGGTGGTGAAGTCCAATACTGAAGAACGCATCTTTCAAATCCAAGACAGTAAACCATGCAGCCGTGGATGGAATCAGAGTCAGGATTGTATAGGGATTTGGCACTACAGGGTGGATAGCTTCTACTTGAGTATTCACTGCCCTCAGGTCTTGGACTGGGCGGTAATCAGGATTCTTGGGGTCTGGAGAAGGCTTAGGTACTGGAAGGATCGGAGTATTCCAGGCAGATTCACAGGGGATCAGGATGCCATCTTTCAGGAGTCTCTGAAAGTGTTTGGTTAACACTCTTCGGGCATCTTCACGAATAGGGTATTGACGCTCTCTCACTGGATTGGCAGTAGGTTTAAGGACCACAACTACAGGAGGTTGGTGTTTAGCAAAGCCTGGGGGATTATCTTCTGCCCATACAGTTGGCACTTCATTTCGGTAGTACAATTTATCCTGCACCTTTTCCTTGTCATAAAAAGCATCTTTATCAGTCTGATACTGGACTTCTTCAGGGTCACCATCAGGGTGTCTTCTAAATCCACATCCCATTAGGACCTCAGGAAGTCGCCACTCTTCTGTAGCATCAACCTCTAAATTACAACACACTAGTGAAGTTTGAGTCTCTGGAGGTAAGGACAGAAGTGCTGAGCCATCCGGAGTATCAAAGGTTATGGAGGCACGCATTTTAGATAAAAGATCTCTCCCAAGCAAATTAATCGGACAGCTGGGATTTAAGAGAAAACGGTGGGTGACCCGGTGACCTCCTAGAGAACAGGTTCTTGATTGGAGGTATGGGAGAGCAAGTTTCTTCCCTGCCATGCCTACAACTGTTAGGCTATCTTTAGTGGGCAGAGCAATGGGTGTCGTTACAATGGATACTTCAGCCCCCGTGTCTAACATGAAATCAACAGGATTTCCTTCAATATTTAAGCGGACCAAGGGCTCCCGAGGGCCACAATTGACAGAGCCCGGTCGCCCCTAATCATCATAGTTCATTCCGGCCATACCAACAAAGCCATCTTCCGACTTCCCTGCAGGGTAGGTGCGGCTGTACCGGCTTTCATTAACTTGCCCTCTTGGAAGGTGGTTAAAGCTCTGTCCTCTTCCTTGGCCTCTAGATCCTCCCCTCCCCCGGAGTCTGGACTGGCGGTTCGGACATTCGTTTTTCCAGTGGCCATCCGCTCTACAGTATGCACATTGGTCCCGGCCTAGGGTTCTAGGACCACGGGGCTCAAGGTTGGATGTTGGGGACGGGCGGTCATACTCATGGCCTTGGATCACTGCTGCTAAAATTGCTGCCTTTCGTCTATGCTTAGCTTCTTCTTCTTTCTTCTCTTCTTTATCTCTATTCACAAAAACCTTCTGGGCCACCTCAATTAATTGGGACACGTTCATCCCTTGGAACCCTTCTAACTTCTGTAATTTGCGTCTAATGTCAGGTGCAGCCTGGCTAACAAAAGATGCATTCACCATTGTACGGTTTGCTTCTTCCTCTGGGTCAAAAGGAGTGTAGAGGCGGTAAGCCTTGTACAGTCTTTCAAGGAAGGTATAGGGTGGCTCAGTTGGCTCTTGAATGACCTCCCTCAATTTAGCCATATTCATGGGCTTCTTTCCTGCTTCCTGGAGACCTAAGAGGATGGCAGTTCGGTATTCCTCTGATCTTCCTCTATCTGCATCTACATTGGGGTCCCAATTTGGGTCTATATCTGGGAAGCGGGCACGAACCCAGTCAGCTGCATTAGGCTGTTGGTCAGCAGGGACTCTGTTTTCAACAGTTTTCTTAGCAGCTGCCATGACTTTCCGCTTCTCTTCTGAAGTTAATAAAGCAGTAAGTAACTGGCTACAATCTCGCCAGGTAGGGGCATGTGTAGCCATAATTGTTGTAAACAGATCTGTCATGGGTCGGGGGTCTTCACTATATGGGGTCGTCTGTGTTCTCCAATTACAGAGATCGACAGTACTGAAAGGAGAATAGACCCATCTCATAATCCCATCCGCTCCTGCTGGAACTTGACGGAGAGGGCAGACTGTTGCTAAATTGCCAGTTTCCTGAGATTTGCCTACAGGCACTTTAAAAGGGTTCATTTCACTGAGTCCTGATGTAGGACTCCAATGAGTGGCGGGGCTCCAGGTCCCTGTTGTCGGATTTTTCTTAAGGACTGTCTTAGGTATGGGAGTGACAGGGGTCTCAGGTTCAGGAGCAGAGGCAGTAGCCAAACAGTCCACTAAGGATGGATAAATGGTGGAGACTGGCACTGAAGGGCTAAGCGCTTCACTGATTTGCAGTTCCTGAAGCTGCTCCTGGGCTGCAAGTTCTTGGGCGGCACGGGCCTGCGCAGTCTGTGATCTAGTCACTCTTGCTTCTGGGGGCGGAGTTGGAAGAGGAGGCGGTGGCAATGGCCCAGCAGAGTATGGTGGGGGCCAATCATCCTCCGGTGGCGGGCAAGTCACTTGGGGGCCTTGGGGCCTGCTTTCTGGGGTATTCAGGGTTGGACAAATTGCTGGCATAGTTCCTGGTGTTGGGCAAACTATAGGCTGGTTGGCTGCTGGGGCAGAGCCCTGTCGGGTTTTAAATCGCTTGGCCTTGGAAGGATTTTTCCTCACATATTCATACCAGCAGTAGACATAATGGAGCTGCTGATCGGAATGGTCCTCTTGGGGATCCGTAGCTGCCAGATAGACTCTGTGTAGCAGAGAGAGATCCATGGAGCCCTCTGGTGGCCATCCCACTGTAAACGCAGGCCAGTTTACCTCACAAAATGTCTGCAGACAGACTGGATTTAAAACTACGCCATGAGTGGCTGTGCCAAAAATTTCTTCAAAGTGCTTGAGCATAAACTGAAGAGGGGTTTTGGGCTTTGCCTGACTCCCTCCCATTTTGAACAGACAAAAGACAGACAGCTGGGTATACAGAGGGTGGGGTAAACAGGGAGAGTGGTAAGGGGTCCACTGCTCCTAGACACATAAAAGGGAGACCTTAACCACAAATGCTTCCACCTGTACCCGACTCAGATGCGATCTCTCGACTGAGAAATGCGAGCTTGAGGTGACCACAATTCAATTTGACTTTCTCCTATTACGGGAGTCCGCCTTTTCACACTCACACACCATGCATTCACTTCAACACAGATCCCACCCTGATCATAGGAAAGCCAAGGCTTTCCTAGCCTGCCTGACAGAAACTGACCCGATAGGAAGGTGATCAGGCTTCCTCTTCCCTTCAACTGAAGGGGACCGATACCGATTAATACTGACCTGACTCTGACCAGACTGGACTCCGGAGTCTTCCCCTGATGTTCTCCTCCTGGCTGAGTTCACTGAGCAAGCGACTTTGGTGAGAACCAGCCCTGGAGAGGAGTGAATGATCGGCTTTTCGAAATCGAAAATGGCGCCTTTGCCGCCAAACAGTCCTCAGTCAGTGCGGTTCTCTTCAAAATCGTGGCTCAGGAGGGGTTCCCCAAAACCCTAGAAGAGGAGTCTTCATTTTTTCCAAACCCAGGACCAACTGAGCTGCCGGTCAGGGAACCAGAAATGTAGCACGGAGAAAGGGGCCTAAGCCCAAGCACAGACCACCAGATCAACAGAAGGAGAAGAACTTTATTGGCGCCGGTTCAGTCAGCGAAGCACGCTTTAAACAGACTGAACCCAGAGCAATGCAGGCTCCAGGCTTTTATACTGCAACAAGGTTACACGTCATCATTTACATCACCAGAGTGGAATTTTCCATTGACTAGGCTTACTTTTCCCGCCCAAACCAAACAAGCTCACTTCTGCCCCCTTATGACTGGAACATGAACAGCAACTATCCCCTTATATGGGCAAGGAATAATAAATGCCTGCTTCAATACCTCCAGGCAATCTGGGCAAGGGGGAGCATATAGATGTTAAATAACATCGGGGAAAGCACTGCCCCCTGAGGCAGTCTGCACTCAAGCAGGTGTCTTCTGGGCTGCTGTTCCCCTAGCACCACCCTTTTACCCATTTCTTTTGAATACCTTGCTCAATAAGGTGCTGTGCTAAAAGTATGCTTGTGACCATTAATTTTAAACAAATACTTTATAACTTTGGATGCTGGCAGTGGTTCTCTGTATGACACAGACCTCCACCATCTTTTACATTTTACCTGTCTCTTTGGATCCCTTGCTCAATCTAGCGCTGTGCTGAAAGTATGCTTCTGATCATTTTCTTTTTAATACATACTTTATAACTTTTCATGCTCATAGTGGTTCTCTGTACCACATAGACCTCCACCATCTTGGACATGCTATTTTAAAAGAAGTGCCGGGGGAAGGCAGGCAGTTGGCAAGTGGCTATTCCTCCAGGGGTGCAGAAGGCAGTAAACTGTCCCCATGGTGACCAGGCATGGGGCAGTGGGAGACACAGAGGCAAGGCCTCAGAACTCAGAAAGGAAGCTGGGACTCCTGACCCTCCCAGTGGGCAATTCCTACAAAGGCCTGTTGGTGGCGGGCTACCCGAGAGAGAGAGAGAAAGAAAAGCCTCTCCAGGTGTTGGGAAAACTTTCGAGGGCTGGGCAGAGCAAAGCAGGCCCGTTCCACCACAGGACCAAAGTTAGTATTTTATTTCTGCTCTAGTAATCCATGCTTCTTCCTGCTGTACCTAGAGGACTGATCAGGGCTTGGACAAACAGCAAAGTCCCCACATAGATCAGGATTGTAACTTATAACTGGCAATACTGTGCAAGCACGTTAAGTTGCCTTTTTACCTGTCTTTTCTTCTTTAAAAAATTAAGATCCTCCTTTAGAGCAAGAAAGAAGGCTATTGAGTGAAGACTTGGTTGATAATTCTTTTTTACAGTGAATGGAAAGCAGAGCTCCTAATCCCCCAATGAGCATTTGCCCTTTTAAACACTCTTCCTGCTTTGTTAAAAGCAGTACTTAGTGTACAGAGATAATTGTAACATTATTCTCTTTACATGGACTTGCAGGTGCCCATGCAGAGGAGAAAAATGGGCAGGTACAGAGCATTGGTGACACTTTCACTGCTAGTATTGGACTACCAGCATATGCTTTATCAATGTAAAAATTACCTTGATTTACACTCACAGAAAAGTGCCAAGGGAAGTGAGGGGAGGTAAAAAGAGAGGTCCTGGGACTGTGTGGAAGCTCTGTGCTGGCCTGGCCCTTAGAGCCAGCTGTGGGGGTGGATGCCATGGTTAGGGAAAATCATTTAGTGTGTGCTCAAAGGTTCTTGTCTTGGATATGAAATATGACTAGGGCTCATCTGGGTTAAATGCAGGGAGTTAGGACAACTATCAGAGCCTTTTATCCTAGACAATGGAGTCAAGGAGGGATGTTTACTTGCACCCCTGTTGTTCAATTTATATATAAATGACCTCAGATCCTGTCTCCTGAAGGAAACATGTCATCTTCCACATTTATCTAAGCACGAAGTTACAATCCTTCTATATGGTGATGATGCAGTGATAATTAGATCAATAGTGGGCATCTGTAAGCTGATAAAAAAATGAGCTTTACTGTTATCATGAAGGCTGGGGGTGTGGCGACACTGAGGAAGATGGCAGTTGCTTGATCTCTTGGCTCCACTTCCCTTTCCCCTCCCGATTCTCTTAACTGTTAGCTAAATGACCCTACAATCTTAAAAAATGGGCAAAAACAATGGGATTCCCTCCACCAACCCCAGAATGGCTAATACATCTGCCCAAGCCTTTTTCTCGCCACAGGAAACTCGTCCCAAACACAAAGGCTCTGGAGAGGACAAATTGGCTATGGCGGGAGACTCAACTTCTACTCCACTATAGGACTTGACCAGGCAAAAAAAGACTTACCAGCATTGCTTGAGAAGATGGAACACAAAATTAAAAATCAAATTCAGCATATGATCCAGCTGGTAAGAGAACAATTGGATGTTATTCAAGCTTCTCTGAATAAAGCCTCACA